GCCCCTGCCAAGCGCGGTCCTGGCCGACCTAAGGGACGGCTGAACAACAGCACCCTGGCAAGGAATGCCGCCAGGGACGCGGAGCTTGCGGCGCAGCTTGCGGAGATCGCAGCGGCCGCGGAGGGGCATGTGGCGGTGAACCCTGGAGGTGGAGGTATCCTCTTCCACGGCCACGGGGTCATCGATCTGGACGCCGGGGGGGTTCTTCAAGAAGCCCAAGCCCTCGCCCTCGCCCCGGAACTGGAACCGGAACCGATGGAGATTGAGTGGGAGATCACGCCGCAGGCGCACGAGGTGCTTGTGCAGAGGTACATAAAATGGAAGGCAAGTCTTGACGTGGGCGGCCAATGACCACGTCTAGAATATATGGCAGCGTCACTTGGAAGTTGGAGCAGAGGGCGCTTGCTTGTGGTTTGGCAAGCCTGAGTTTCGCAGAGGAAAAGGAGCTTCTTCAGGCAGTACATGGATACCTAGTTGAGACAAGTACATGAATTTACGAGCATATAAATCAGTAACTACCTAAGTATGACTTCCATGGTGAAGACGAAGGTTCAGACTTTGGCGTGAATGCTATTGCCAAAAAAAAAAAAAAAAGGTTCACGGTAACGGTGCCGGTAAAATGACGTGTTGTGATACTTGTATCCATTTGATCCACCTTTCCTCCATTTCCCCAATGTCTTGTGCGGTTGGAATCTCTTCCTCTTGGAGTGTGCTTACCTAGGTCTTCTCTTTCTGGCGTACGTCTTTGCGGAAACGATACTGGTTCATTCCTTTTTGCTGACCTTCCCTCCTTCCGAATAGACAACAGCAATCGGAGCCGGCGATTTGTACATCATGCTTCGGTGAGAACTTGCTCCGCGCCGCTCACCGCGAGGAAGGCAGCCAGGTTGACGGACATTCAGGAGACGCAACATCATAATGAAGAAGGAGGACACACCGTGACGAGAAGGAGCACAGGGCCGTTGGGAACGAACGGAGAGACAGAAGGAACGATGGCATTATCCAATGGACAACATTGAAGCATTTGACTAATTGGAAGACGGCTTGGCCACGAGGATTCGGGTATGAGAACATTGACGCGTGCGGCCTCCCCAGGACTTTGGGCCATATGCTTTTCTTCTCGTTATCATCGTCATAATTTCCCACATTTTTGCCAATCATTCTCACAATTCAATCAATCTTCAACTTTTCTTCCATTGGGTAAAACTCCCCACACACGCCAATGAATCTACAAACACATCCCAACACCCACACAGATTGGAATAATGGGACAATCTCTTAATGCATCTATTAATTTTGTGACTCTGTAGGAATTTTTTTTTTATTTTTTATTTTTTTATTTTTTTTTTCTTTTCAAAAGCCTGGTTTGCCCAGAACCTGCAAATGCGGTCCTCGAGGGTATGTGTGTACGGAGTACCTAAGCATGATGGTATGAGCATTGCATACCTTAGGTAAGGTACTAGTGGAATTGATGCCTCTTGCGTCGGGACAGAACCAGGCTGCATAAACCCTAACCCCCCCCAACTTCCAGTGGCACATGTTTATGCCAAGCCGCTCAAACGTCATTGATTGGATCGTCTTGACTTGGGGAGTTTCAGTGGCTCGGGGCTCGTGAAATCTGGGGCCGAGCCGACCGAGCTGACGTCATGCACATTTTGCTGGGCTTTGGAGTTTTGGGTTTCACGCCTACCAAAATCACTGAACAAAAGCGATTCCATCAAACCTTCTTTACCTCATTCAACGAACTACCAGCAACCTGGATTACCGCCCTACCGTAGATTCTCATCCCCGTCACCTCACCTGAGCGTTACACACCACACACACAGTCCTACACGCATTGCTTATCTTATCACTTATACGCGTTGCATCCTATCAACATCAACATCAACAACATCAACATCAGACGAACACCTACATCAGACGAACACCTACAACACCAGACCTCCAACCATGGCCGACTGGGACACACACGCTGCCCTCGGTGGGCACTTGCGCGACCAAAATGCTACGGCCGAGAAGAAGCCCAAGAACGAACATAGATGGATCTGGTTCGTCACGGGTCCGACGGCATGTGGAAAGACGACGGTTGCGAAGGCGCTGGCCAAGAATCTGAATTTCACTTATGTCCGAGGGTGATGATGTGAGTCTTCATTTCCTTCTTTTTTCTTCTTTTTTTTTTTCTCCTGCTCTGTCAGCCTTTCTTGGAACAGTGGTCGATGGGTTGGGGTGGTTGTAGTTGTTGTCAAATGCATGCACTCACTGCACGGAGTCGTCCAGTCTCTGGTTCTTGCCGCGGTTTAGGCTCAGAACTGCAATGTCAGAGCGCAGCCTCCCACATGAATACATGGTCCCTGCCTGCACTGAGGTACCTGCATTTGTCAACATCATTGCATACCCAACCTCACCTCCCCAATTGAACCTCAATCTCATCCTCATCCTCATCCTCATCCTCATCCTCATCCTCATCCTCATCCTCATCCTCATCCTCATCCTCACCAATTAACACCACCTCACACAGTACCACCCAAAAGCCAACGTCGACAAAATGTCCCGCGGCGAACCCTTGACAGACGCCGACAGAGCAGGCTGGCTCCAAGCCCTAGCCGAGCACGAGACCGCCGCTCCTCCAACATCCTCCTCTCCGCACCTAGTAATCACCTGTTCGGCCTTGAAGCGTCACTACCGCGACATTCTCCGCTTAGGCTCCGAAAACGCGGGTGATCTACGCATCCGCTTCATCTTCTTGTTAGCGCCGGAGGAAGTCCTGAGAGAAAGGGCGGAGAAGAGGAAGGGCCATTTTGCAGGCGCAAATCTCGTGAGGAGCCAGTTTAAGATTTTGGAGATGCCGAGGCCTGATTTGAAGGAGGAGGAAGGAGGCGAACATGAAGGTGGGGAGAAGGATGTTATTGTTGTTGATGTGGATAGGGGAGTTGAGGAGGTGGAGAGGGCGGTTATCGAGGTGGTGAGGACGGAGATGGGAAGGGAGGAAGGTGATTTTTTGAGGTTGAATTAGGGAGGTTGGGGAAAGAGGAAGGGCGAAGGAGGAGTAAGGGGGAAACCCGTTTGGATAAAGTGCCTTTCGTGGTGGTTATACCTTGGTTTTGAAGGGTGTTTGTAGTCCGTTATCGGGTGATTCGATGGTTGATGTGAAGAGGTCAGAATCAGGACCATGAAGGTTCTGAGTTGCAGGCTGTTTGTTTGGTATCTGTTTTGGACACTTCGATTTTGGATACTGAAAACTTGTTTTGGTTTACCAGTCATGTCAGAGGAGATGCAGATGGTGGCCGCATATGATTTGAGAAGGTTCAAGTGCTTGATCCAGTGTTGGTCCTTTGGATGATGTGGTTTGTGAGGATGAGAAGTGGAAGTGACTGGCGGTTCTAGCTTGTGCTTGTTCCCCAGGCGCCAAACCTTTATGGCTGGGTTGTTGGCATGTTGGATGACAGTGCCTAACAAGTACACGGTTCTCTGAGAGCATGTTTCTCTTGATGGGAAACACCATACTGAACGAGTGGCACTGTGAAAGGGACCATCTTCCCCCTTCCCAAGGTTCGTCTTCCCCTCTTCACCATTCACTGACGCCGAAGCTCCAATGCCACCCAGAATAGCATTTATTCACCACCATGCCGCCCTCAAGGTTCTGGTGGAGGCTTTGGGCTGTACGAAGCCATTCACCAACATGATGTACGGCGCACCATGAGCCCTTTACTTCGTAGAACTTTATTACTCTTTTTGTTATAAATATCCCACACTACACGCCTCTTGCTCATTGCAAAAACTTTCCTCTCCATTATTCAACACCAACGATCTTCAAGGAAACACTCACAAACCATCGCCACAACTCTCAAGGTAGGATATTTCCAATGTCCGGACAACTTCAGACAGTCATTAACACCACACTGCCCTAACCAAGCATCATGTCACCCATTCCCATCATCACAATCACCAATGCAATCCTCAACGCTACAAGCACCATCTCAGAACCTTAGTGGTCTGCCAGCCCTGCAGCAACACCCAGCTCGGGCTCCTTCTTGCTCTTCGTCACCATCATTGGGCTCCTCAGCTCGTGTTGCAGCACCATCTACATGTTCGGGTACACAGAGCCATACATTCGGAACAGGTGCAGCAACTTTCGCCACCGCAAACAGATTGCCAGAGAAGAGTGTCTCGAGAAGCAGCCGAACAACAACATGCAACAAGCTTCAGTTCTGACGTGGACAGAATGGACGGAGATCAGGAATGAGAGCAAAGGTATTTGAGAAGAGACCCGAGCAACCAAGGAGGGCGTCGAGAAAGTTGCGACAGGCGTTGAGACACTTCCGGAGGTTATGGCGAAGGCCATGTCGGGCATCATCACCCAGGCGGTAGCAGAGGGCTACAAGCGAGGCCACGAAGCGGCGCTGAAGGGGATGGAAGAGACCATCGAGAGGGCCGTCGCCAAGGGCACCGAAGAGGGCATCAAGGGTGCCATGAAGGAGGTGCATGAGGCTACCACAGAAGCGACCAAGGAGGTAATGCGAGACGGCGTAGACCAGGTGGTGGACGGGATACACCGGCTTCAGAACACGATCGTCTGGGGCTCCCATGAGGTGAAAGAAAACGGGAACTGGGGAGCATGGGATTCGTGGCAGGACGACGAGGATACGGCTTCTACCACGTTAAGTGACCCTCCTCGTGATTTCTACGAGTACTGTGAGCGGACCTGGTATTAAGCATTCTAGCTACAGTATGATCATTACCTCTTACAAAGATCCCTCTTCAAATCGGGCAAACCTCAGCTATGTGTTATATGCATTCAGTCAGTGAGATTACTGCCTTAGTGTGTACTCGTTCATTCTGAAGAGAGACCTTTGGTGTATGATCCCGATCCCAAATAGATGCCAAGAATCGGAGGATCACAGAGTCTCTCCATCTCTAATACGGGTGACGTCTCTACCCTGAGTTCTTTTCTCGCCCCATTATTCCAGCGAAAAAGTCCTGGCATATCTAATCTTCAAACATGGTATTATTCAGTCATGGAAAGCCGTTGCATGAAGGCACAACAAAATGTGAAGTTATCGTCGAGTGTCTCAATACCCTTGAGGACTCTGGCTAGTGCGCTCTAATCCTCTCCTACACCTTCTCAAGGTTCCTTTTCGTTTCCCCCTACCATCCACTCTCACTCGCACAACAACCACTTGCCAACATGCCTCCGTCAAAGTTCAGGCGGAGATGCCTTCTAAGAACCTTGAGACACTTCAGTACTGTGCCCACAAGATGGCCTTCAGACCCTTGCCTGGGTACCTCTAGAATATGATGATGCTATAGATATAAGACCTCGCTCCGCTGACACATTCCCACAAACTCCCTTTCCCATCACCCACCACCCTCAATTCATCACACAGAAGAACCCCATCAAACAAAACCCAAAAATCCTGTCTCCAAGTCTACGATGAGTCTTACATCTGAAATCATGGCGACTAAAACCTCTACTTCCATCACCAGCATCAACTCTACCGTCGAAACCATGACATTCACTGCGGCTACCATCATCGCGACCATGATAACCTCGACCATAGTCACAGTCATCCGCCATCAAGCCGACTTCGTGCCCAGCGCCACCACCACCCTTTCCCTCTCCTTATCAGCATCAGAGGCAACGCCAGCAACAACCACAACCTCCACTCTCAGTCCGTCCATCTCGGAGCCTTTGCCCCGCTGCGTGGAACTTCTTTGCGGCGCTCTCAAACATTTTCTACAGCTTTGTATACACATTCCCGAGAGCCTGCCTCGACGCCATCGCCATAGCCCACTTCCTCATGTTCTGGATGTGGTGTCAATGACGAGCAGCGGCTAGAGGCGGAGCGGCAAAGCTGTACGAACAGAAGGGAAGTGTGTTGGAGGTGTCCCGTGTCA